GGCTAAAGATTCAATTTATATGAAAGCAAAGATCCTCACATAGTTATTTTATTAATCTTCCAGCAAAGCGGTGACAGATAGCAAATCTGCTTCTAAGACACCTTGCAACCACAGAATCCTCTTCGGAATTCATCTCCCTCCATGAATTTCCTGATAAACTTCCTGAGAATGAACAAAATCACAAGCAACACCCATTCTGCAGCCGTGGCTTCCACATCCCCCCAGAACTCCTTGCTACTTTTATGAACAAAGTCAGAAAGGTTTCTGCAACCACCTTGCTCAAGAGAGCACAGTGAGAAGCCTCCAAACACTAAGCTGGCGCGCTAGCTGTGGCAATGTAGCTACATTGACAAAGTAACGATTTGGGCTATAGACTGGGGTGAGATTTAACAACAACAAACTTCATGCAATCTCTTCCTACTTAGGACACCGGTTCAAATCCGAGAGAGGCAAGAAGCAAGGACTATCTGTCATTGGATATCATGGGAGTGAAGCCTGAGGTTTCACAGTTCTTGGAAGGCAAATGCAAGCACAGCTAGCACCTTCCTACACGTTCTCAGCAAAAGACAGAAAAACAAATAGTTAGGAACCGGCAGCACAAGACTGCACTGTCTGTACTTCCGGCTAGTTACAAAACTTACTTCCTGATCAAAGAATCTACTACCAGCATCAGGCCCGAGCTTCCTTTATTCTGACTTGATTCTCTTAAATCAGGACTCTTTCAACAGAGCCCCCAGGAATACATTACAGCAAGTGTCTGCCCCTGAAAATTGTTTCCACTTCTACTACTCACCAGTACGAGCACTACCTTTCAATACAGTGAATTTTTCTGAATTTACATTTTGTGGAACGAGTGTTTCTGTTAACTTTTCCTGTCAGCAACTTCTTGAAAACAAACAAAAAGCCAACATAGTCTGACTGCCAGTTTCTCCTCCAGTTTTCCTAATATCTAACGATGCAAAACTAAGTTACGCTTTTTTTCCCATTTGTAGCAATTCCCTGAGTAAACTGAAGATTTAATCCTCTGCGATGCAATGGCCTCCCTCAGACAAAGCCTTGCCAATACGTTTGTGATCACTTCGTCTAATATAAAAGCAGGAGCTCAGCACAGAGTAATGAAGATAAAAACAAAGGAAGCCAAAACACTTCAGAAAGCCATACTACTTATAGCTGAGCTGCTGTTTTCCAGCAAAAGTGTTCCAGTAGAACACCTGTCTCTTCTCAAGACATCAGCAGTAATGAAACAAGTACTTCTTAATGAAGCTAAGTATCATAGCAATGAAATCAAAATTCTTAATAATTCTTAATAAAAAGTTCTTAATAATTTGAGCTTGACAAACTAATGTAGCTCTCTACTTTACAGAGGGTCAGGAGCTCAGCTGTACTAGCACCAGTCTTTGGTAAGATGCTTGCATGAGAATAAATCCATCACTAAAACTTTGCTGTGTTGCCAAATGTATGCCTTGTTTGAATGCATGTCCAAGAAGTCTAGAGTCTAATAGTATTTTCCCCGTAAAATAGAGAAGGTTGTTAATCTCTTCTGTATGATAATATGCTATTCAGGTCCATTTCCCCAAGTTTGCCATGCTACAGAGCTAAAATTCCAACAATATCTCTTTAAATTGAATGTCAGCAATTTTTTTCCAGTAATTTACAACCCTAAGGTCTAAAGGGCTTCTGTTAATGGTGTACAGCAATACTACCTTCCCAAAAGTAGACTTCAAGCCCAGCTATTACTCAAAATTGATTTTCTTTTCTTTTAAAAAAAGTAGCACTTTAGACAGCTATAAAATGAAATGCAGCTACTTATTTTCCCCTCTTCACTTTCTAAAGCTGGCAGTCATGCAGGAGACATTCCAAATTAAAGAAACAGGATTACAAAACTACAAAATTGACACAGGGCCTATGGGCATACAGCGTACTTACAGTCATAATTGATTTTTTAATGTGACTAGATTTCAAAACTGACTCTGGAATTCTGGAAGCTGTTTATAATTTTCCTCCTCTATTAAGATAGTTATTTCAGTCACAAATGAACAAAGACTTAACATTCAGTCCAAAATTAAAACTACTATGACATGTCTTAAAACATGAATTTATACAACAGGCTAGCAAGACTTCAACAGGGATGGACATAGCCCTGATCCAAGCAGGTCAGAGCAGGCTACTCTACCATAACACCAGATAACAAGAGAGGCTACAGTCAGGGCTCCTGTATTTTTAACATGGACAATGGACAGAAGGGCAGCCTCAGGGTGTCCCCCTTCAACCAGACCACCTGAAATCGGAGCATTCCCAGCAGCTAGTTGCCCAGTTCTCCTGGAAACCATTCTCATAAGCAAGTAGTCATACTAATGAAACCTATTGCACAGTGTCACACTAATTCCTTTAAATTAGTAGCAGTATATATGTAAACAGGTTCTGCACAGAAGCAGCAAGCTATGTTCCTCCTGGACGAGTCAGTTCTAGAAGGGTTTCAGTACTACCCTTAATTACATGAAGTGCCAGGAAGGCTATCATTTCAAAATTAGTACAATTAAAAAACACAGAAAGAAATGCTGGGACAGGAGGATATATACACAAACATGTAGTTTGCAACTCCGATGTCAAACAGGATTTTAAACATATGCTGTAGGAGTTGTTTAATCTTATCAAACTGGAATTTATAACAGAAATCTCTCCGCAGCCTTGAATGTTTTCCTCAAACATACAAGAAAATGTGCATCTGCTTTTAGGATTACACAGACAGACTCGAAATCACATTAGTCAAAACGGTTGCCAAGTATTAGCTGTGGAGCAGCAGCAAAACATGAGAACACTATGTCAAAAGGAAAAAAAATTAAAACTAAATCGAGGCTGGATTTCTAGGCAATAAGGCAAACTAATCATACGCATGGTGAACGCAAGGAAAATTAAATTGCTGCAGGGTAGATTTGATACCTGTGTTAGCAGTAGCACTATAGAACATTAGTTACAGGCGTTTCATACCAGGTGCTACAGAAAATAATTTAAGCAGCAATGACAGAAGCTCCTTCCATTTCTTTTCCCATCACAGGGGTTACTTCTTCCAAGAGGGACCTCTTAAGCATCTTACATGAAAAGTCTGAACAACCAAACTTTACTTATAAAAGCTTTTTTAAACAAAACCCCAGTTTTAATATTAAAATAGATACATATTTTATAGAATCTTAGAACAGCAGCTACATGCAAAGTTTTAAAAGTGAATTAAATTTTAAATTCCTAATGAATTTTAATACTTTTAAAATTTAGCATTTTCACTAGCTAAAATCTTTTTTTCCTCTCCATTTAATGCTGTAATTAAAAGGTCTGTTAATCTACTGTATCTAGCATCTTACAGCTTTGCTTTCTTAAGAGTCACTCCAGACCTACAGAGAAAAAAAAAAGTCCAAAGTCACCCAAACTATGGCTGGTGTTGCATGGTAAGCTACCATGCATTCATTTTGCAATTCCAGATTCGAAGTTATTTGAATAAGTATACATCTATAGTAGTGTAGTAGTGTACATCTATATACACGGGTTAATAAATAGTTCCTATAACTGATCCAAAGACGTAGCTGGGAGAAGAATTTCAAGAGGCACACGCTCTATTGAAAACACAACTGGCACTAAAACATGACTAAATTACTTCTGTAACACCCAAAATGTAAAATGAAAAACAAACACTTTTTTTTTTCCAGTTAAGTCCATTTTTTACGTGGGCATTGCTGCCACCACATGGCCAAAAAGCTGTATTGTTCCTACCCTGTGCCTCTTTCAGATACAGTATTGCTCAACATGCTCTCTCTTCTACAAGTCCTCTCATTTTAGCCTTCAGCCCACCCCTGACTACCTCAAAGCCTCATCATTTCCCAAACTACTTCTGCCTTTGATAAGAACGAGGAGCAACTCAAAGTATTATTCAGATCCCACTGACAGTCTGCGTGTAGGACACTAGCTATAGAAACGCTTGAGCACTGGAGAATTACATGACACTGATATTCAAAGAGAAGGTCTAACAAGCATCAGACCAGTTCACCACCAAGAAAATCTAAGAAAAGTCCTGCAAACATCCAAATAGCCACTGGAACTGGTGTGTCAACAAGCCTGTAACAGTTTCTTTGCTGAAGTATCCTCCTTAAAACATCTTTCCGGAAAGATCCCTTTTTGAAAGTTGGACTGAACGCACTAGCCTGTCACCTGCAGAAGGCTGAGCAACCTCTGAGCAGGTTCTTCGTACCAAGAAGGTACAATGAGTTTAAATGGAGTTAAGTCACCGCAGAAAGGGAATTCCATACATACTCACACATAATAAGTCTACATTCATCCCTGTTTATTAGCTCTTATAAACAGAATCTTGCTCCATACTTAAGTCTTAAAATACCTGTTAATGCCTGCTTAGAACTTTTACTTCCGCTGCACCTCACCTGCCAAAGGGAGCACAGAATACCAGCATACACCCACAGCTGGGTTTTTACCCCAGCCCTCTTAGATAAAGCTTCACAA